AGCCATGGATAGAGGACCCTTCGAGCCATTAACAGAGCTCGAAGGTCCCCAAGGTAGGGAGCTTCTCAGGCTGGCTGGCGGGTTCCTGCAGGAAGGCTGAGCTGTTTGGTTGAGGACTGAGAACACACCACTGAGTGGTGGGTCTCCAACATTCTGAGCCTCTGAGAAGAGACTGTGGAACAGGGACTTAGAGCAGCAAGGTGACGGTGCTGGTGCCAGCGTTGAGCTTCGTGTTAATCCTGTTAGATTCGAGCTGTGAAGGAACACGAGCACAGGAACACCTCTCCACATGTCCTGGGAGGGGTCACCTGGCTGCCCAGCAACAGGTCCGAGGTGGGCCCACAGTGCTGGGTGTACACATGTCCCAGGTCACAAGGCCAACGGGTGGGAGAGTTCAAAAGGCCGGTAGGGTGGGCATTGGAATCAGGCTGAGGGGCAGCGCAGGTGTGAGGACAGCTGCCAGAGCTCAGTGGCGGCTGAGTCCGAGTCAGGAGCAGGGCACAGAGGAACCACCTAGCCTTGGAGGAGGCGGAGCAGTTGAGAACAAGCTCACAAGGAGCTTCAGGTTCACGAAGGCCAGAGGGCCCTCTGCGCCTGTCCCTGCCGAGCCCCACATCCCACAGCGTGGCCTTCCCCGGTCTGCAGTCATGCTGGGGAGGCTGGCTGTGCTGGGTCRTCCTCCACTTGTGTCTAGCACTAAGGACACCCTCATGGAGCCCATGTGGGGTGAAGGGAAGCTGTGGGATTGAGCAGTTGGGTGGCACCTGGCACACATCAGTCCTGGCAGAGGCAGATGTAACTGCTGATGCCCAGAAGGCCCAGAGCCTCAGGGAGGTCAGACAGCTGACCCAGGGTCCCAGACTCAAGCCCATGTCTTGTCATAGTTGGGTTGGCCCTGGGCTCAGTCTCTGAGTTCAGGTCGGCTTGTGGAGCCCCGTGGAGTCCAGGCCACAGCCCGTAAGCATGTGTCCTGCCTGCAGCCATGGTTCTCCAGGTCCTTGGCACTCCATCGTAACTGAGGGAGGCTGTTGCAGTGGACAGAAAAAGGCTACCAGCATCTAGAGGAAGGAATGACATCACAGGGGGAGAGCTGGAAGCAAGAGGTGGCCATGAGGGGGTTGGGAAGGCAGGCGGGGCCTGAAGCAAGACCTGGGAGCCCTGCCGGTGTCTGCATGCATGGACAATGTGCAGTGGCCGTGCGATGGGCRGGGGAGGTGAAGTCCCGCTTGGGGTGCAGCAGGAGCTGTCAGGGCCTGTTGAGAGTCTAGAGGAAAGCTCCACAGTGAGACTAGGAACCCAAGGGGACACGGAGGTGATGAGCAGGAGAAGTCAAAGGGAGATAGAAAGCTGGGCAGCCAGGCATTGAACAGATGTCATTCAGTCTCCTAGCCGGTGGCTAATGACGGAGCAGGACCCAACTCATGGAGAAGGGACTGTGCAAGGCCAAGAGTGGGCAGCAAACTTKCGGCCATCAGGAAGTGTTAGGGAGAACAAAGGGGCTTAAGAGGAAAAATGCCAAGTGGGCATTTCAGAGCTGGCCTCATGCCCTTGGTCATCATGCCCATGGGAGTGTGGGCGCTGAAGCGTGTCAGTGCGCAGCAGAGCCGGGTGGCAGCGCCAGCCCTGGTGTCGAAGTTGAGGCAGGTGGATCCTGGGCAGAGGCTGGAAGCTGCCCGGGGGAAGGTGAAGACGGGCCCTTGTGCGGCGAGGTGGTGCCGGGGGAGGCTTCCTGACTGGTGGCTGTGTCTGCTGAGGAAGTGGGACCCATTTTATTTTAGTCCCTGTGTGTCACATAAGGTTAGCCTTCGTGACTCAGCAGAGGCACAGGATGAGAAGTTTCCCAACCACAGCACAGCTGGGACTGGAGTTCAGCTTTTCTCATCTTGTCGTCAAGTGATGTGTCCCTGAGCCACAGCTCCTCCCACTTCCACGTAGAAATCTGTCCTTAATCTTAGAGTCACTTTGTCATCCATGAGGTTCTCTGGTTAGGGGAGCTTTGGTGCAGTGTGGCCTTTGGGGCTGTGCTCCAGGGGTCTCAGGTGCAGAAAGGAAACCCCAGATGGTTTCTGTGATGAGTCTCTTCTCAGTGACACAAGAGCAAGGGAAGAGCCCAACCCCTTCCGTCGTTCCGGGAAGCACCCAGGTGTGTGCGTGCATGCAGAGATGCCATCACCAGCCAGCCATGGCTGGCCTGTACCTCACGGAGAACTGGGGGGAGCCAGGTGGACCTTTCAGGACCTCATGTGAGTGCCTAGCTCTTCATCTCTCCACCAGTGATTGTTACAGGATTAACATTTTTAAAAACACCACTAATTGCACACTGACCCTCAGCCAGCCTGTCTTCTCAATGGCCTAACTGTCCAGTGAGGGTACCGTGGTGGGTGGTCTGTAGGCAGGTCCTCTGCTCAAAATGCAGTCTCTTAACAGAGACAGGCCCCAGAAGTCAGCCAGGTGTATATCAGTGTTATTTGATTCAAGGACATGGGCTCCTCTGAGCCCGTGTTTGTCCAGGTTTGGAAATGGACAGTAGTCAGATGGTCTGTCTGATTCTGACAGCCCCTGCACTCCCCCCGACGGTGCTGTCCTCCTTCCCACCAGCTGCTTGCTGCATTGGGCCCCTAAACCTCACAGGGCCAAGGTTGAGCAGGCAGGGGATCAGGGTCTTATTTGTGCCTCTGGTTCACAGGGGGCCAGTCATCGTGGGTAAGTGTAGACACCACACAAATGCGAGGACAGGAAGGGCCTTTCTACCACTGTAGCTGTGGCTCACCCTTCCCGTTGTCTTGCCCCTTCAGGGTGGACTCATCTCTTTGCGTATTGTTGGGATGTGTGCATTTCCTCATGTTGTTCAAATATCCACCAAGGACCTTTTAACAGTTGGTTGCCACTCCCTGGCAGTTGATCCACAGTCAACTCTGTCCCTTCTTACCACCTGGGCAGAGGCTGGAAGCTGCCCAGGGGAAGGTGAAGACTGGCCCTTGTGCGGTGCGGTGGTGGCATCTCATGTTTGTAGTCAAACTGCACTGTGGACTGTGGTGCCTCTACCCAGCTCAAAACAGGCTTCTGGGTTGCCACTGCACCCGACCTGCCCCTCTCTGACTTCTGATCTGCGTTCTGTGTGATAAATGGGGACTGTGGTGGAACTGCTCTCACTGTGCCCTGCTGGAGTCTACTGAGCCTGAGCGGGGTCTGGGAACCCAGGACTTGGAGTTGACGCAGTAGCAGGGCAGTCTCAGGAACGCCCAGCAGGCCGAGAGAAGGTTCTCGAGATAAGTGATCCTCACTCCTGGCACACTCTGCATTGATATGATCCCAGGCGAGCTCYGGCCTTGCAACCAGACATCTTCACCCATGTCGCTTTGAGGAAGAGGGTGCACCCAGCAGGCCTGAAGCTGAGAAAGGGGCAATGTTCATCCTGAACATTATTGACAGTCTCGTCTGTTTATTAAGGTTTTTAGCATATGTTTCTTATCTGCAGACCCAGGACACAAGTGACTGTCTTAGGTCTCCTCACCCGCCCTGGGGTGTCCCACATCCCTTCCTTTTCATCACCCAGACGTGGGCAAGCACTCTAGGTCTGGCTGACCTCTGGAGAAGTGCCCCAGCTGTCTGTGCCTTGAGAAGTGCCTTGTCCTTGTGCAGGGTAGCGTGCCCTAGCCTAGCCCATGTGGCAGAGCTGCATCAGCTTCCTTGCTGGAGAGCGGACAAGCTCTTTCATCTGTGGCTCTCAGCCCCACCCTCCCATGTGGAGGGCTGGTGACAGGCAGTCTGCAAGGCCCTGGACTTCCTAGTGAATGGTGGGTCTCTCCTTACCCTGCCCAGCCAATTGGAATCTTGGCACCATCCAAGCTGTAGCCAGCCTTAGGGCCACTGTCTGAAGCTCCTTGCGGGAGCCTGCATCTGCCTGCGTGTGGGCTCTTCCTCTCAAGCTTGAAAGCTGTCCACTTGGGCAGCAGTTCAGCCCTGGAGAATAATACTCGTTTCTTCATCTCACTTTTCTTGCCCTATCACTAAGCCTTCTTGAAGATGCAAAAAGTGAAAAGGCCTTCAGGGGAAGGAGAGGGCACATGTGCTGCAGAATCATGTCATCTGCTTGGCCTGCTCCCCATCTCTGAGGCTCAACCTCCCTGAGTGTCAGTCTAGCAGACAGTGCCAYCAAATGGGTGACTGTGATGGGAGCTATTGATCTGTTCAGTCTTATAAGTGGCAGGAATTACACTCGAGTCTCTCAACCAAATTACTGTGAACATTTTCCTTCTGGGAGAAAGAGAGCTTCCGGTCAGATAAAATTAAAATGCTTCCCACAGGGTAAAATTAAGTTGCTGTGAAGCAGCAAGAAACTGCTGCCAGATGTATTCTTCCTGAGACATCTCAGGGCCACACCATCCATCTCCTAAGAGGCAGGTCTCTTTCCAAGGTCAGCTTTCAACAGGCCTCCCCGACCTCCCTTAGAACACAGCATCCTCGGGGCCTCCTCTCTCATCTGTGTGGTGTGTCTGCTGTGCGCACAGTGTGACCTGTCACAAGCCCATGTTTGCATGCTCATCAGTCCTTCCTGCTGAACTGTAAGCTCCCTGAAAGCAGGTTTTGCTGAGCTCAGGCCCTGTGCTCAGCCCTGTATGTGGGGGCAGGACTTCCTTCCTCCACGCTCTTGGGTTGTCAGGGCCCTTCTGCAGAGTTGGAGCCACAGAGAGGAGGCCATGAAGGGGATTTGTGAAACATGATTCAGACCTCTCTTAGCAAAGTGCCACAGGATCACCCTTGGGAACAGGGACTCAGTGGAACTGAGTGTGGCCAGCTGGGTCTCCATCCAGAGGTACTTGAAGAGGCTCCCTGTGTAGATGTGGAGGGGAAGGAAGAGGAAGGTGGAGGCTGACTTTCTAGGGGGAAACCTCTGGCCCCTGCTGCCTCTGCTCTGAGCCTCTAACCTCCCTCTCCTCCTTTGCACAAACCCTTTTAATTACTTTGACGGCACTAATAAAGTGCACCATCCTTTCTAGGATCCCTGGCCGGCTGAATGACAGGAGGACTCCTCTGGGTGAGCTCAACTGGATCTTCACAGCAATTACAGACACCATCGCGTGGAACGTGCTCCCCCGCGGTGAGGCTGCCTGGCCACTGCCCGGGTGTGGGGAGAGAAGGCTGACAGAGGAGAAGAGCTGGGGAGGGGCAGGGGCAGTGATGAAGCCAAAGGCCAGAGCCTAAGGAGGTCCCTGTGTGGCTGGAATGAGTGGCCAGGTGTCAGTCAGTGCCTACAGTGGTGGCAGGGAGCGAGGCTTTTTGCATGAGCGTTGGCAAAGCCAGAATCCCTCTTGTAGGCCTTGCTTTATATTTTGCTATTGGTTGCTTTGTATTTTTGGTATTTGTTCACATATATGTCTGCATGTGTATATATGGACATGTATGCTTGTGTGTGTGATTATGTGGATGTGTGTTCATGTGGATATGTGTATTTTTATATCTGTGAGCGTGTCTATGTATACGTGTTTGTGTCTCTGTGTGTGTTCATGTGGATATGTGTGTATATGTGTGTACCTCTGTCAATGTGTCTATATGTATRTATATGTGTGTCCAGTGGGAATTGTGCATGTTCAATTTTTGATGGAAGTAAATATGTGGGTTTGGCTGTAAGTGCTGAGCAGTGGTCCCTGAAGACTCTTTTTATCATTTATCTACTCAGATCTCTTCCAAAAGCTCTTCAGACAGGACCTACTGGTGGCGAGTCTGTTTCGAAACTTTTTACTGGCAGAAAGGATCATGAGGTCATACAACTGCACCCCTGTCAGCAGCCCCCGACTCCCGCCGACTTACATGCATGCGATGTGGTAAGTGTCCCAGGCCAGACAGTGCTGCAGGTGGCTAGCTCTCCTGGTGGCATGCTCCCATTGCTGCAGCAGTGCCCATGCAAGGAGCTGTGTGTGCCTGGGAGGCAGGCGTGGCGCCAGACTGAGACAGAGCTAAAGAGAGCCGCCCTGAGGATCTAGAAGCAGGTAGCCAGCCTCCTGCAGAAATGAGGTTACTGAGACCCTTTTTAGGTGGGCGAGGGCAGTGGCATCAGGCCCCACAGTTCCCCACATGGAGAGTGGCACTGCACACAGGGCTCATAGCCTCATTAGAGCTTCAAATTGAGAAAGAAATTGCCTCCTGAACTTGCAGAGTACATCAGAGTGCTCTGAGTGTTAAAACCGTTGGGTTTGTGACAAAAATTCATATACTTATGCGTGCACACATGCACAGAGTGTAGAGTGTAATCTTACTCACTGTTGATTATAATTTCTCCAATTGCCCGATTGCTGCTACTTATGCTAGTATCATCCATGATATCACTAGTATCATGTGGCTGCTCAACAGTGTTGCCACAGCTCAGTAGCTTCAACAACTGCACCACAGTGCTTCTGGGGGGCATGTCCTACCTGCAGGGTCCTGCCTGGCTCAAGGCCACTGTAAGCAGCCAGGGACCCCACTGTCCTCCCACATGGCCCAATGTGGCCTTCTGCAACCTAGTCAGCAAGGGAGGTGGAGGTTCTGGCAGATGGGCACACAGCCTGTGTCATGCTACATGTGGTCAGGGACAGCTGTCCACCTTTATTAGATTCTGCTGATCAGAAGTCACAGCCCCACCAACACACCAGGGAGGAGACCTCAGCAGGAGACAGGAGTCATGGGGCTACCACTGGAGTGTCTGCACCATAGGGAGCACCTCGCAAGGGTGAGGCTTTCACCAACTGCTGAAGGCACTCAGCTGGGGCCCACGGGCAGCTTGGCAGGCGGGAGATGAGCAGTGGCCTCTGTGGTGATGCTGAGGGGACAGGCTACCAGGTGATTCCAGAGACTTATACATCAGGTGCTGCTGTGTGTCTGCCCGTCCTGGAGCTCTCAGGTGTCATCTGCGCTTGTAGCAATGCTGTGAATAGGTCTAGTGATGTTCCCATGTCACAGACAGAATGGGAGTCTCCAGGGGACAAGCAGCAAGGCTGAGGGCCGTGACTTGAGGACAAGATGGTGTGTCTAGATACATCCCTGGGACAAGAGCATACAGGGTGGAAATGACTGAATCAGGGCACAAAGCTTGGGGCTGCCACCCCCGCTGCATATCACTGCCRTGCTCAGGGGTCACGGCACTGCGGAAGGTATTAGACACCAGGTGACAGGGAATGACAGCTCTATTACCTGGCCAGCAGCCTGGAATCTCCAGGAGGGGTAAAGAGCTTCACCCAGGTCCTTGGGGCAGCCCCATTCCTACACCCACATTGCAGTGAGCCCCACTCCCAAGGGTAGAGCCCCACAGCCCTCCAGCTGGATGTTGAGCCAAGAAGTGAGCAGCGCCTGCTCTAGAGCCCAGTCTCCGTGGTATATCCTACCTGCCAATCTTGCCTTGGCCCAAGATCATGTTCTTGCTGGCCTCAGGATCCCTGGCCACACCTTGACCAGCCAGGTCGCATCCACCTCACCTGCAGTGTCCTGCTGCCCCTGCGTCTCCCTGCACTTGACCCTGTGGCTGCTGAGACCCAGCTCGGGAGTGTGATAAGCATCCCTAGGGGAAAACTAAAGGACATGGCTAGGAGACATTCTGAAAGACTTTGATAAAAGAAGCCATTTGTGAGAACAAATTAGGAATTACCCCGGGACCTTACAGAATAGGGGCATAAGTTAAAGTACGGGTACTTTGGCAAAATGTAAGCAATCTTAAAATTTTATTCTTACTTGTATTTAGTGACAAAACCCAACACTGCATTATATCAGTAGTGTAACTGCTTTCTGTTAAACCCTGTTATACATGGAGGGCACTGCCAAGCAGGGCCCTGGCAGGTGTGAATGGCACTGATGTGGCAGCTGTCTATTGTATTGTCTGGCAGAGATCCCTTCTGTAATTGGAAATTCACCTGTAGATTTTCCAAGCCTGCAAAGCCCTAAAAAAAAAAAAAAAAAATACTTTTAAAAATGGAATCTTTGCTGGGGGTGATGGCTCACACCTGTAATCCCAGTGGCTCTGGAGGCTGAGGCAGGAGGATCATGAGTTTAAGGCCAGCCTCGGCAACTGTTTTAGTCAGCGCTTCTTGCTACTGTGACCACAATTTTAGGGGAGCAAAAGTTAATTTGGAGCTCCATTTCTTGGGGCTCGAGGTGAGGCAGAACATCACGGGGGAAGAGTGTGGCAGAGGAAAGTGGCTCACATGATGATCAGAAAGCAGAGAGAAGCCACTCACCATATACAAGATCTGTACCTTAAAGGCACGCCCTCAATGCCACTTCCTACTGCCATACCCTACCATCATCAGTTACCACTCAATCCCGTTAGGGGATTAATTCACTGATTGGGTTAAGACTCTAATAACCCAGTCATTTCTCACACATAAGTTTTTGGGGGATATCTCACATCCAGACTCCAGTAGCAGCTTAGCAAGACCTTGTCTCAAAATAAAAAATAAAAATAGTTGGGAATATGGCTCTATTTTTTAAATGCTCCTGTTACCAAAAAAAAAGGAATCTTATGGTTAAGGCACTGTTTGTCATGATTATAAAACTGAAAAGAAATGAGATAATTGGGCATTTCTACTGTTTTTTTCCTACAATACTGAGGACTGAACCCAGGGTCACCTTACCATTGAGGTACATCCCAGCCCTTTTTATTTCTTATTTAGAATGACGGTCTCAATAAGTTTGTGAGCCAGGCCTCAAACTTGCAACCTTCCTGCCTCTGCCTCTGGAGTTGCACTGGTATTACAGGTGTGCCTGCTGCTCCAAGCTTTAACTGGGCATTTCTTTACATGACAAAAACATAACCGGTAGAATTCCCTAAGGCTCAATACCTGGATTTGATCTCATTTGATGTTTTTTAAATGGTATGGTACTTTCCAACACTCATGTACCTGAGACTGACTCCTACGTGTGACGCAGTGCMGCCCACAGGGTCGTTCTTTTTGAAATAGCCCAACACTGAGGTAATGTGATTCAAGCAGTTGCACCCCTGCCGTGCACTGAGCACTCGTTTGGGTGGGCTGGTAAAGGGTGTGAGGATCCAAAGGGTGTTGGAGAAGCCTGGACCATGGGGGCTGCCCACCTCATGTGGGATCCAGGATACAGCCGCTACCTTCCTGGGCTTGGGCTCATCTGAGTGCTGGGAACTGTACCAGGGCCCTGTGCCTGCTAGGCAAGCACTGTACCTCTGAGCTATGTCCTCAGCCTGAGAGCTRTTCTTAAAGGAAGTCTGTCCAGCCTCCAGTTAGACAGACAGTGCTGGTCTCTGATTTGCCCTGTGTGGCCAGAGGAGGACAATCTCCCAGGGCCACTCTACCCTGAGCACAGCCCAGTGCTTCCATTACTGCTGGGCGTGGTGGGATGAACCAGGCCAGCTCCCTGGGATGCTGGTCAGTCCCCAGGAGCCTCTGTACAGGTTGGCTCACGCTGGCTGCCTAGGAGCTCCAGAAAGCCAGTGACCCAGCCCCGGAGCCCCCAGCTCTTCCAGAGGTTCCTTCCTTTGCAAGAAAACCACACAGCTGGACACGGCAGAGTGACACAGGGTGTCAGCAGGACTTCAGCTCAAGGACCTTATCCAGCTGGCACTGTGCGAGTCACAGCTGATACTCCACCAGCCTTGCCTGGCCTGGCATTTTAGCATGCAGGCTGAGGTCCTCCTTTCTTATTCTCTCTCAGCCTGGGCATCACCAGATCCTGAGCCCCTGTCTGGCTTCAGTTCCCTGTCCTGCAGATGTTCCCCGTCCCTGGCTGAGGAGCTCAGTGCAGAAGACTGTGTCCTTTCCTGTGCCTTCCCTGTGTCTTCGTGAGCATGGAAGGCTAATATGGGCACGCACGTGTGGCATGCTGGTTTAAACACAAGCATAGCCATCCATGGCTTATCCTCCACCGTGTGGGAGCCTGGGGCAGGGGTCACCACTAGGCTAGAGGGATGGTGCCCCGAGGAAAGAATGTCTAGTGACATCATAGGGTCAGGGATGGTTCCCTGGAAAGTGAGAGTGGTGGAGGTGGGATGTGGAGACAGATTCTGACCTGATGGTGACAAGTGCCAAGAGACAACTCTGCAAGGGCCTCAGGGAGCAGGGCTGTGGCTGGAGGTCTGGGACTGTGGTGTAGTGGATGAGGAGTGGCTGGCCCACCCCAGGGAGCCCCACAGACAGCGACTGGAGATGAGTCAGAGAGGAGAGCCCTGGGCCTGGGTGGTGGCAGGGCTCAGGTCTCACAGGTGTTTCCTCTTGGCACTGATGGGATTTGGTGAGTCTGCAAGAGGCTGGAGGTCAGGGCCTCTTGCTTCTCTACTGATGACAGTGGGGCGCAGTGGGAGGATGGGCAGAGTGCTGGAACTTCTTGTGAAGCCAGTGGACAGCGAGAAGCTGAGCACAGAGTCAGGAGGGACTCAGGACAGGCTTGGGGAGCCAACATCCAGATGAGGACACATTGGCAGCCCACTGAGCACCCATTAGTCCCAGACCCTCTCCCAGAAGGTCGACACACAGGCCTCACTGCCCCTCACCAGGATGCGAGTTGCCCAAAGCCCAGGGCAACCTGGCCAAGAGGCAGGTTCAGACCCTGACTTCACTTCCAGAAAGCCCACGCTTACCTGCTCCACCTGGAGCTGGGCAGGTGGCACGTCCACAGGAGTTGAGAGAAACAGGCCTGGAATTAGTCCCTGCCTCATCAGGTCCAAGTCAAGCTCTGGCACAAAGCTCCATGGGTGTCACCAGCCCACGCAGACTCCAGGGAAGGCAGGCCAGTGTGTTCTCTGCACGGGGGCCTGTGCTTCTTAAGGGCAGAGTCCTCCTCTGTAAGGGGTATGTAAAGGATGGCTTTCTCAGAACCCCGCAGAGGC